AGACCATATACAAAAACAAGTACACATCAACAACAAGCCAAGTACTTAAGTTTTTAAAACAACACTCAAACAAGTTCATAAAACAACACCAACAACAAGCCAATCATCTCATTTTCCTTTAATGTTTGCCTTTCTTCTTTTTTTTTTATTTCGTCTTCTCCTCGTCTCTTCTTTTTTTTTCTGCATCTGGCAGCGTCAGATGGAGTGTAACAAGAAGGTGATCTTTTTCTCTTTTACTGGTTTTTTTGGTGTCTTTCGCGGACGTTCTCCCCCTTCATCCACTGCATGCTCCTCATCATCTTCATCTCCAGCTTCTCCTCCTAATATAAACATTTTCTTTTATGAACAACAGCAAAAAATGATAAATCCATCAGAGTAGAACTAATTTTTCTTACCTTCGCCAGTGTTTCCTTTGTTTCGCTGTTCCCTCACAAAACTTTCAACATCCTTCAGTCTCTCATCAAAACCATAAACCACTTCCTGTAATTCTTTTACCAAATTCCCCACCGTCCCCACCGCTTGGATCAGCTTTCCAGCTAATGGTACAACAGTGTCAGGTTCTTCTCTACGTTCTTCTCTAGGTTCTTCTCTAGGGACATTCTCAGTGCCACCTCTACCTGCCAAGTCCATATCATACAAATCTTTCCACCATATCTCCTTTCCTTTTGCAATTAGATGGTCTTTCCATGACTCAATAATTAGATAAATAAAGCATATACCATCATCACAATCAGGGTCTACTATGCGCTCCATAAGAGCTTCCTCGTCTGAGTCAGGATCCAAAATGCTAATGATATCATATGAAAGTCAACACAATTGTAAATTTAAAAACCAAATTAATATCAAATACAACGGTCAACTAATTATCACCCTAGTTCTTATGGTCTCGTTAATGTCTTCCAATGGATAACCGTTCATGGAACCCTCGGCAAACTTGTGTTACACAACCGTGGACAATCTTTCTTAGGTGGAACAACATCTACTCAAAATTTGTATCCCAGCACAGAAATACACTCAAAAGCAAAAGCCTACACATAAAGTTACAATATCACAACCTTAAATTCTTAAAACTAATAATTTGATTCCATTGGTAAGAGTTCGTTACCTCCAAAGAAAGAATGAAACCAGAAAAGATCCATGAATATTTGTCTCTCAAGATACCGTTCTTGAACATCTTCATCTTCTCCCTCACCTCAACCATACAATCATCAAATGTGTAACGCCCCCATGGGAGTGTTTTAGACAATCCAAATCATCAACAATCTTAAGAAAGAACGGCTCTATGTTTCCTGCAACCTTAGACTTTGCTTTCAAAATAATGGATACGAAATACAGGAAAGCCATCTTCTTCTTGTCTACACTGCTCCGCAATGACTCGAGTTTATCTCCCACATATGCGATTGTTATGTTCACTTTCCTTCTAAACATCCTCTCCACAGACTTAAAATCCCTATTTTTCTTATCCTTTAATTCTTCATAGTTGCTCGGTAGTCATGGAATTCCAACCCACATAACAATGCATGCTCTCTTATGGAATATCTAATAGGAACTCCATTAACCACAAACCACAACTCTTTCATCGAATCCGTACAAGCTTAATGAAGAAGCAGCATCCGCATGCCCATATGCTTTCGGTTTGGCTCCTCCTCCATGTGAAATATGCTTAAATTGAGAATGAGCTGTGAACCACTTTAATTCAGTTGGAAACGACTTTATCATGTTCACTGTATCCTTCACAGTACACCTCAATCCTATCTTACAAGCCTTGCTATATTGCTCTCGGCCAATTAAAACTTCTCTGGTTGCAGTGGTGTACTATAATCCTCGTTATTCTGCGAATTCAAACTTAGATTTAATAAACAGTTAAAATAAATAAATACTTACTCGAACGTAGTTGAACCTAATAAACGTAGTTGAACCAAGCAAGCTTACTTGAACTTAAAGCATCTAGTTGCACCTACTGAACCTAGCAAACATAGTTGAACCTACCTTACATAGTTGAACCTAGCAAACATAGTTGAACCTAGCAAGCACATTTGAACCTAACATACATTGGAGATACTAATGTAGTTGAACCTATAAAGTGTAGTTAAACCAAGCAAGTGTAGTCGAACTTAAAACATCTAGTTGAACATAGCCTACATAGTTGAACCTAGCAATACATAGTTAAACCTAGCAATACGTAGTTGAACCTAGCAAACCAAGTTGAACCTAGCAAACTAAGTTAACCCAAACTAACATTGGAGATACTAATGTAGTTGAACCTAGAAAACATAGTTGAACTTAACCAAAATACTAACCATTTTTCCAATATAGTACATACAACACCAATTCATTCTCAATTTTCAGTCTAAAAGTAAGCAAATGCATAAGTATATGTAAACTATACCTCTTCGTCGTGAACTCCTTCTTCGTGCTGCCCAGACACATTCTCTTCCTCTTGTTCATGGCGAAACACATTCTCTTCCTCTTATATTTGTCGAGTTCCTCTCTTCATCTGAGGTCACTCTCATATCTTATGGAGTTTTGGTTTTCTCTTGTTCTGGAGTTAGGGTTTTCTCTTGTTCTAGAGTTGGGGTTTTCTCTTGTTCTGGAGTTGGGGGATTCACAGAAACATTATTCGTGGAGTCTGTCTTTGCACCTTGTGTTAAATCTTTTTCGGGATTGATTGCAGGAGGAACAACTTCATCACCGGCTAGAGAATCCTTTTCCTTGTCTCCACCACCAAGATTTTCGGGATTGATTGCAGGAGGAACAACTTCATCATGGGCTAGAGAATGTGTCGATTCATCCTCCACTTCTTCGGTTGAGCGATTCTTCTCTTCGGTTCCTGGTTGTAGTGGTGCTTCTGTGGTTGTTGGAGCCGTCGTTGCTGCGTCGATTTCAGGAGGAAGTAGAGTCGTTCCTGTTTATGTGGTTGCTGTCGTCGTTGCTGCATTGGTTTCAGGAGAAAGTGGAGGAGCTACTTCTAAAGGAAGATGAATAATTTCGGTCATTTCAACATTTTAAAAAATATTATATAATAAATTTTAATTCATTCTATATTTTTGTTCAACATAATTTTCATTTTATTTTTTATATTCTAATTTGTTATTACTTGGTACAGCTTTTAATTTTTTTTTTACTATACAACTCCCTTTGTTTTTATATATAAAATATTTTAAAGATTTTTTTGTTCAAAATTAGTGATGTTCTCACATATTTATGTAAAAATTAATTACATTTTTGTTGTTTAGATTTTTTGAATTCTGTATGTTGTTTTTTTATTAGTTGAATTGTTTTGCAATTGATGATAAAATATATTTTATTTTAGAAAAATATAAAATTAAATAATTTTCTAATTTATGTCTAATTTCTTAAATATCATATATAAAAACAGAGGAAATAATCTGTAATTTTTCATACAAATATTCTTAGGATGACACGTTTCAGATCAAGCCTGGTCCGAAGTATGATAAATGTTACATGGGACCACTGGCTAAGCCACTGCACATGAAGACTTGAAGACATATAAAAGGTTTGAGATATGGCCACGTCACACATAAATAACATGCGTGCATGAAACATTACACGTTTGATCTCGCAGAATTCGGCGACGCTATTGGAATTTAAATCGATACCGAAAGCTAGAGAACCTACCCGCACAAGTTTATATCTTTTTCGAAACAATAACCAAAAGCCACACAGTCACCTCTAAGCCACAAAAGATATATTAAATATAAGCTACGGTTACATTTACTCCGAATCATTCCATACTAAGACAACAATCTCTAATTCAATACTTAGTTTTTACTATTTAGCATAGACAAAATCTTAAGAATCACACCCCATTCTTAATTACACACATACGTCGTGTTCTCTTAGTTTTAATTCTTTCAATTATCCATGTCGGATACTCAAGTTTAAGTGTGTTTTCTATGTGATCAATCGGTTATTCTTTTATTCCAACAGCTTCTTCGTGTCCGTAAGTATGCACTTAAAGGTTGATCGGTAAGTGTATAATCGACTAGTCTCTCAACTTATCATCTTTCTATTTATTGAACGTTTTGTTACATAAATTTTTTTTAGTTCTATGAGTTTTTTTTTTTTTTTTAGTTCTATGAGTTATCAATCATTTTTAATGTATTCTTTAGTAATATTATCTTCTTACTCAAATTGTTCCATGTGACTCTTGCATGTTCTCCTATACTCTTCACAATATAATATAGTTATGTATTCCGGTCATCTTGTCTTGTGATAATTGCTTAACCTTAAACATGACTAATCTTATTTCGAAAAGAATCTGCGTACCGAGATTTGTTAATGTTGCATATTTGTTAAAAATTAAGTTTTTTTTTATGATGAAATTTGCTTTTATGATTTTATCCGGCCACATTTCTCTCCCGTGACGTGAGCTATTCGGAATATATGTCTCGTACGTATTTGTCAGCTCTCCGCTATTACTGACCCGGCGTTAATATTTTATGTAAGACACTAATTAATTAGAATATGTGTTTAGGATTAAAATTTTACAGCTATGGTTTTATCCATAATCATCAATTCATCAAATATATCAGATTATGCCATTGTTCACTATTTCGGAATCAGCAACTTATGTGACAACTTAAGAAAATGGTCAAAAAGAAAAACTTATGTAACAACTCTGGTAGAAACGTGAACTTATATACACATATACTCATGCTTTAAATGGTCTAGAAAATTCTAAATTCTAGAAAAATTAATTGTGAGAGACCCCATGAAATTTAATGACATGACTTGCAAGTGTGTGGCAACAAGTAATGGCAACAAAGCTTTGAAACTTAGTGACAATTCTTTTATTACACATCTAATAACTTAGTAAAGTCACAACCAATGAAGCATGTGCATGCATGTATAAAACCCCACTTTGATGCAATGTCACGTTGTGTTTCCTTATACACCCCAAATTAGATTGAGGCAAACAAATTATTTAAACACTTTATATCTCTATTTGTTTTCCCGAGTCATCTCTTGTCTTCATCTTCTGATCCAAAGTCTCTAATCATACGTGAGGGAGAATCCGTTTGACCCACCAGACAGAATTATTCAGACGGGAATAATCACACAAGCTTTATATTATATTATACCCAAAAAGCATATTCAGCCAGAACATGGAGGTAAGTCATTGTCACATGTGTTATGTACAATTCACATGTGCCTATAACACAAAACAGCATATTTATAAGAGTTTAAACTTTTGGGTTTTGACCAGATCTTGCAATGGCTCTTCAAGTTAGGAAAGGCACCAGAGAGATCAGAGTCCAGTTCAATCAATAGTAATGATCATGAACCCACCACAACTGTAACAAGTAAGTAACAGAACATTTCTTGATCATAAGTTCTTGGAAACATTTCCTTATTATTATTATCTATATCTTCTTGGGAGTATAAAATATTTCATAGTCTTATATTTGTATAGAATCTGTAGGTTAAGTTAGAATTTCTTTCATAAACAAGCTTCTTGGCCAATCAAATATGAAATACAGTAAACGTTTTGTTATCTGACAAAACCACCTCTTTAATTAGTGCGATCCATGTCATGCAGATAACAAAACAAGAAGATCATCAACAAGAGAGTCTAAACATAGAGAACAGAGGAAATACAGAGGAATCTGGTTATGGTGTAGAAAAGATGTAGCCGAAGCTTGTTTCTATAGCACATTGACTCTAAAAAGACTTAGAAGCTGTAGGAAAGAACATTTTCTTCGCTCCATGGCAAAGGTGAAAGCGCATGGAGGAGAAGAAGAAGTGAAATCAACAAGATTTGATCCGAAAAAGACTATCGAAGTCGTTGTACCAGAGAAACATGACGAAATCAGTAAGGAGAAGGCTAAAAGCGAGGGAAAAGCTAAGGCCACGCTTTCAAGGATGAAGGAGCTTATTAGATGGGCTGCAGCAGCAAAATCTGACAAAGCTGCCAAGTTCTTTACCCCTAAGGTATGTTCATCAAACTCATTAGAACTCAAATTGATTTGGTAACCACTGTTCTTGATGAAATATAGATTTGCAGATAGTGGAGTTAAGAAACCGAAGAAAGTTGAAGATGACGAGAGATGCGAATGAAGAATCAAAAATGATGAGTAGTGAATCTGCAAACATAAGTGTGAGATGGGAGAGTTGTGAGAGTTGCACAACACTCTCTTCCTCTGATCAAATTTCTATAGTTTCCTCACCAGCAATCTTTGTTTCCTTGGGTCCTACGCCACTCTATCGATGTCGATCCAGGAAAGGCAACTGGATCACTACTGATTCCGAATGTAAGATCATTTTCAATAAAATTGAAAATATTCTTGATTTTTCTTCTACCTATAACTTTCTTTTTAAGAACAAAAAACTAATATTTTTTTTGGTATTTAGAACACAATTATCAATTTCAAAATATGACTGGCGATAGTGAATAATTCCAAAAACAAAATTGCTAAGTGTTTATAAAATTGTATGTTCTTTGTTACTATGTTTATTTTGTACTTATTAGTCTTGTTTCTTTTATTTATTTTGGATCTTGCAGTTGTGGTGTTAGAGTTATGAAGAGAAGAAGATGTGGATGACGACAATGACAAGTGCAACCAATTGCTTCTCTCGTTCGCTAGACCATTCGGAGATTTCAACTTTCTTTCGTATTTTTATGTAATTCATGAAAGGAAACTTATTTGACAAAAAGGTTTCCCTCTAAAGTTTGACTTGGTATATCGAATTAGATGGCCATTAGTAAATTGATTTAATGGTACATACTTATATACAGTAAAATTTCTATAAATTAATAATGTTAGGGATTTCAAAATTTTATTGATTTATAGAGTTATTAATTTTTTTTAATAATATCTATATTAATTTAAGAATTAGTAGAATCCAAATACAAATGTTGGTTTAGCCGATTTGGCAGATGAAAACAAGAAGAGTAAAATAGTCCATTAGGAGGACCATTTTGAGCTAGTTTATGTGCTATAACGTTACAATCACGATGGACATGTGATATTTCTACATCTTTGAGTCGAGAACTCCAGCTGTGAAGATCTCCCAACAAATTTAGAATAAAGATGTTTTGATCATTAGTTTGAAGTAATTGAGTAAGGATTAAGCAATCTCCTTCAAAAGTAATAGTTTCAAAATCTATACTCCAGGAACTTTGAAAGGCTACTAGTAATGCCTTGTGATGTAAGCATCAGTAGCAAACAAACCCTTTTAGGCACTGGAGAGCATTCACATACAAACTTGGAGTTAAACTTGCTTGTAGCTGAGGAGAAGGAGAAGCTTATAGCTGTTTCAGAAGCTGAGGACTTTACATCAAAACGCCAGCGTTCTATATGGTCAGAAGGACCTTTTGATCGAGCCAAACATGAACCGATTCCATATAAAGAAGACCAGGAGTCATCAAAATCGCATAAACATATAAATGGACCTACAATTGTATATGCCAAGCCATTTATAGAAACCAGGAGCTATAAGAGATTTTATTCGATCAACATAGAAGATAAACGAGCCAATAACCAAAGCTACCCTGATCAAACCAAAGGAGAACCACCAAATCTACTCAAACCACTAAATAGAGCATTATTGGAACCATTCAAGGAAACTAGGGGCAACATGACATTATATTCGACTCACCATTTCATTCGACCACCAAGGAGCATTTTCAAGACATTAAGGACCAGCAAATCAATTCAATAACTGAAAGAGGACTTTTGCAAGTCTAAACTCAAATGTCCTTAGCCTCTAATCAGTTGTAGATTAGGGATCAGATGTCACTTCATTTGTGGAAGATGAGATAAGATGCAAACAATGCCATAAGCTAAACAATGATGGGGGGTTTGATTGAACAAGGACAAGTCTAACAACTTAATAATGCAATGGAAAGAAAGTATAAACTAGATGCAAGTGAACAAAACTAAGCAATGAATTAAAAGCAATGACTAAACAAGAACTAATCAAGAATGACTACTAAAGCAAGAACTAAGCAATATGATCTTAAAAATAATTAATTAAAAGCAAGACTCAAGGTTCTAAACAATAGGATAATGGCTTTCAAGAGTGAAAATGAGGATTTTTAACAAAGGCAAGCTTCAAGCATTCATAAGCAAACAATTCTCAATGTTGTACTCCTAGACAAGATATCTAAAAGGAACTAACTTGGTGTCACTAAGCAGTTTATATTCAACAAGATTGAAGTGTTAGAACCACTTGTGATGGCGTATCCTTCAACCATGAGCATAAATATCAGAACCATTCTAGCCTAAGAGATGTACTAATCAAGCAATCATTCTCTCATCCAAGCAAGAATTCAGATCAACTTATCAATCTTGTGAACCAATAAGGACCTAGTTAGCTAAACACCAATCAAGAATATGGATTTAATCACACAGCTGCAACATCCTAACAAAGCTAAACAATGAATAGAAATGAAACAAAGGCAATATCTTTTAATGCATACTATCTAACCATCAAGCAAGAATCCCAAAACCAGCATTATCTAGCCCTAAGCGAATCATCTAGCAATGATGAACTATCACTTTGGTGTCACTAAACAAAAGAAACATAGACCAAGCCAAACTATCAAGCCAAATAAGCGAACCATGCTTAGAAATGAGATAACGAGCCATTTAGTGAACCATATGCATCAATCAATACCGTATTCAATCAAAAGGAGCTTGATGAACAATAACCACTTTACAAGAGAAGGAGACAATATAAAACAGTTAAATAAGCCTAATCACCCTTTAATCACATCTTAATCACGATTTTCCCTACTTAGAACCCTAAATCTAAAGTAAACTACTCATTAATCATGTTTAATCCCATTTGTTTGGAGTTAAACATAACTAGATGAGATTAAAATGCAAAGATGATAAATCTAAACTACCAAGGTGCAAGAACAAAGATTAAAAGACAAGATTAAACCATAATAATGCAAACTTTATTAAAGATTAAGATTCTTAAGGCAAATCGCTTTTTAAGATTTTGAGAAGAGAGAGTTTTTGATGAAAAGCTAAACTTGGATAAAGATAATGTTTGGTGGATTTCTTTTTATAGTAGGGAGCCAAAAGAAGCATAAAAAACCTAAAAATAGGATAAGGTCAAAGAAAATAAAGTGGTCAATGAGTGGATGAGTTGCATCCAGGTCGTACGGACGATGTTCTGCTCAACATGCAACCTCGATATGGTCCATGCAGCGTGCATCAGCTTCCTTCCTCGATGCTGGTCCTCGATGCAGACCAACAACTTGGACTCATCATGCTGATCCTCTTCCTCTCGTCCTGCTGCTTACATCGAGCATACTCCACGGATGTTCTGCTCGATATGCTTGCTCGATATGGACCAGACTTTGCAAGAGCTCCATTTCTGACATCTTCTTTGATCATGAGCTGCTTTCATCTCCTTCCCAACTCTAAGAAACTCCAAAAACACCTGAAAACTACCACAAACATGCACATGGATGCAAATATATGCAATCCTAAACTAAATGCATGCCATGTTGATTCTAAGTGAAAATAATACTAAAATGCTAAACTATAATGCAAAAACAGAGGAAAAGATGCATAAAATGCAGTTTAAAATGGTCTAAAATAGCAAGCTATCAACACCCCCCACACTTAGCTTTTGCTTCCCCCCAAGCTAACAAACACTTAACATGGTGATGAGGTTTTAAATGGGAACTCATATCTTTGAAAATGCTAACAATAAATCAAAAAAAATTCCATGTTCTCAATTCTAGAGTGCACTTGATGGAAGAATACTTTAAACACATAGCCACTTTCATCACAAAACAAGAATGATCATAAAGCTATCAACCTACACATGCTCATCAAATCAAACAATCTTTTTAACATTCAATTAAGCTCAAACCGTGAATCATGCTTATGCAAATGCAAATGTGTCATTTGGCTAAGGAACAATGCTTAGTGGAATAAAAATGATCCCACTTCACAAACTGGTTTTGGTTTTTAAAGGGTTCTCTCAAGGAAAAGCATGGTTGTTCTTTGGTAAAATGCTAAGGGTCAAAGAACAACTTACACATACAAAGAAAGACTCCCATCTACCCAAGATCTATAAGATGTGTTCTTAACTCTAGCCTATCAGTGTAAACCTACATATGCTACCTTTTTTTTTAAAGAATTTAAACCCTTTTAAAATCCAAAAACTTTTCTCCTTCAAGTGCTTTGGAAGACACTTCTTCTTTTGAACTTTAAGTGGTGGCGATTTGATTCTTTTGAATTTGGCTCCTTTATTTGGTGATGCTGGTGCTTGATTTGCCATTGGCTTTTTTTTATTTACCTGTTTTGCACTTCTTGCATCTTTTTTCTTCTTTGAACATGAGCCTTCTTTCTTTGAGTTTAGAATCATCATTTCCACCCTTTTGCTTGTGTCACACTCCTTTTTCTTTTGTGCCTTGACTTCTTTTCCTATTTGATTCTCTTAAAAACTAATCCCAAGATAAACCTAAACCATTTCCCAAACATCCTAGCCTATCTAACTAAATAGTGAGCTAGTTCTACAATGGGAATACTTCCCTTGTAGTTCCAACCCAACACCTTTTGCTAAGCAACAACCATAATGGAAGAGGCCTCACAAATCACACACTATTAATGTCTTAGCTTGCAAGAAGGTTTAGTTAAGGGTGGGGAAATTTAAATGGATCTTTTAGAGAGTGACAAAAGAGAATAAGAATATCCAAATATTTTAAACTATCCATGACATCAATTACAAAAGCATAAGGCATGATAATTACGAATTCAAATTAGGTTCCACTTAAACAAATGTTGAAATCATTTCAAAGCATGCTTCAGTCTCAAACAAAGCTCACACAAATGCAAATTCCAAAAGTGGTTCAGCTTTATTTCTAGTTCAACATCAAATGCACCAAATGATTAAAAACAAGAGTTTCATTTTCATAAACCACTAGCATTAACAAAGATGTACTATCATAGTTCCCAATTTAAACAAGCAAGCTAGTCCTATATGAATGCATGAAGTCTAAATCCTATAAGAATGCATGAAAATCAAACTCTTTTTGTGAAGCAATTTTTGAAATTTTTTCATTTTTTTAAAGGTTTTTTTCTATGCATTAGATGCTATGCAATCATGATGTATGGTTCATACTCTAATATGTAAATGAAAATGCAAGCATCAGTCCATCATACACCCTCCCCCACACCTAAATTATATAGTGCCTGTGTAATAAAAATTCTAAAGAGAGTGCTCACAAACATCAAGCAAACAATCGCATGAAACTTAAAAACAATTGTGGTATTTACAATGGTTAGTGTGGTGTACCTTACTTCAGGTGGAGGAGTGGTAAAAGTCTGAACTCTCAATGGCGTGGGAGGGTGAAGCTTCCTCCTCTGATGGATTTTGCTGTCTATCCCTTCTCTTCTTTCCTTTTCGCTTTGGAGCAGCTACATGAGATGAATGTCTTGCCGGTTGAGAAGCATGTGTCCTTTGCCGCTCACTGATGTGGAATGAGTGTCTCTCTTGGACTGTAGCCTCTGGTATGTCCTCAGACATGTCCTCAGCATCATATCCTCCTCCTTGTGGCTCTGGTTGGGCGGCTTGATCAGTTCTCTTGGCTGATGAAGATCCTCCCAACTTCTTCTTGAGCTTCCTCACTTTCTTCTTCAACGAGTCAACCGATTTCTTGCTTGCTTTGACCGTCTTCAGAAAACCTCTGATGGCCTCTTCCTGGAAGTGGTTCCACCTCTGAAGAAGCCTAATGTGCTCATGTGCAGCCTTTGAGGCTTCAGATGTGCATATTACATCATAAGGGTCAAATGCATAAGGGCAGCTATC